GATCATAGTTAAACTCGAAGCTTCAAACTATTCAATTTGGAGAAGTCAAATTCAAAATTTCTTTGAAGCCACAGAGTTATTTGGTTTTCTTGATGGATCTACTGCCTGTCCATCTACTACAATGCTTGATTCTGATCATAATACAGTTTCCAATCCTGAGTTTCTGCAATGGAAGTTGACTGATTCTTGTCTTCTCAGTTGCATCATTGCAACTCTTACTCCTTCCATATTTTCTTCCATTCTTCATCTAAAAAATTGCTGTGCTGTTTGGTCAGCTCTTGAGAAACAATTCACATCACTTTCACGCTCTCATATTCATCAGATCAAAAATCGTTTGAGCACTACTACGAAGAAGTCCAAATCTATGGAAACCTATCTTCAAGAAATCAAAGATCTTGTTGAACAACTTGCTTTGGCATCTTCTCCAGTCTGTGATAAAGATCTTATTCTTCTGATCCTCAATGGCTTGCCTGAGGAGTACAATGCTTTCAAAACCACAATTCGAGCCAAATCAGAGGTACTTTCAATGGAAGAACTCTGCTCTCTCTTGTGTTCCGAAGCCATACATGTTGAAAATAGTCACAAGCATAGTACTTCTGATCTTACTGTGGCTTTCTCTGCTACGAATACTCATTTACTCACAGACAATACTTCCGCTACATCATCTGTATTAGGTGCAGTTCCATCTCCTCATAATCAGCAGTATTATGGTCAATCTTCCTCTCGTAATTTCTCTTTTCAGAACAGAGGAGGTTCTCGATCTCAAGGCCAGTATAGAGGTGGTCATAGGTACAGCAGTCAACGAGGCAGAAGAGAAGGAAGACCTCAGAGTTATGGCTTAACCTGCCAAATTTGTGGAAAAGGAAATCACTCTGCTTTAGAGTGTCGACATCGACTGAATACTTCTTTTCAACCTGTGTTTCATTCTTATACCATGGGACCTTCACAAATGCCTGCTTTTACTCCTAGAGCTTTTTCTGCACAAACCCCTTTTCCTGTCATGTCCACCTCTATGCAGTCTACTTCAGCTCCTTGGTATGTTGATTCTGCTGCAACTTCTCATCTCACCAATGATCTGAACAATCTGCATTTTTATCAACCCTACCAAGGCAATGATCAAGTCATGATTGGTGATGGAAATTCTCTTCCAATTCATAACTCTGGTACTGGTATATTGTCCTCTCCTTCTTTTCAATTTAGGCTTACCAATCTTCTTCACGTTCCACAAATCTCATCAAATTTGCTCTCTATTCATCAGCTTACTTCTGATAACAATTGTAGTATTACTTTTGACAATGAGTCCTTTGTGATTCAGGACAAGCTCACCAACAAGGTGCTCTGTAGAGGACATCATCAAAATGGCCTCTACCAGTTTCCTTCTTCAATTTCTCATAAAGCTTTTTCTGGTACTAGTTCTCTTGCTACTGTTTGGCATAAGAGACTAGGGCATCCTTCTTCTGCTGTATTTCATACTATTGCAAATAAAAGTGGCTTGTCATTTAGTCATCAAGATTGTAACACTTTTTGTCATTCTTGCTGTGTATCAAAGAGTCATAGACTCCCTTTTGTTCTTTCCACTAATAAAACTCATGCTCCTTTCACTCTGATTCACTCAGATGTTTGGGGTCCTTTTACTCAAGTGCAGTCTTCTTTTACTTACTATGTTGTTTTCATTGATGATTTTAGTCATTTTACCTGGATTTACCCTCTGTCTTATAAAAGTGAAGTATACTCTAAGTTCTTAGAATTTAAAAACTATGATGAAAACCAATTTTCAACTTCTCTTAAAATTTTCCGAACTGATGGAGGGGGAGAATATACTAGTCATCAATTTGAAACACTTCTTAAATCTTTTGGCATTGTTCATCAGCTTAGTTGTCCTCATACTCCATCTCAAAATGGAGTTGCTGAGCGCAAGCATAGACATATCATTGAGACAACCATCACTCTACTTGATCAATCCTCTGTACCTCTGAAATTCTAGTTTGAGGCTCTTGCAACTGCTGTTTATCTGATCAATCGAATGCCTTCTCTTACATTGGGCAATCTCAGTCCCTATGAGGTGTTGTTTCAGATGCTTCCAGATTATAATTTTCTTAAAGTATTTGGCTGCAGATGTTATCCATGGTTGAGACCTTATACTTGTCACAAATTGCAACCAAGATCTATGGCTTGTGTTTTTATTGGTTATCATCCAAGTTACAAAGGATACCGCTGCTTGGATCCTCTTTCTGGTAGAATTTACATCTCTAGGCATGTTGTGTTTGATGAATGTTCTTTTCCTTTTGCTTCTACTGATTCTTCTTCACCTCCTCTTCTTTCTTCAAAATCTGCTATTAAAACATTCTTTTGGGGAACTCCTTTTTCTGTGTTTTCTTCTCAAGTTCCTACTCAGTCTAATTCTGTTTCAACATCGTCACCCAATTCATCCTCTTCTCCCACACATGTTGCTGCTTCTCCTCTTGTCTCACCTAATCCTGGTTTTATCTCTTCTCCTTTATCTTCATCTCCACCTGGTATTAATCTGACTATTCCCATTATTCCTCGTCCTTCTTCTGACTCTCTCAACTCACATCCTATGCTCACCCGAAGTAAGACAGCAAAATCTGCCAAGTCTTGTTTAGTTGCTACTCTTCTTGACACTGAGCCTCGTACTTATAAAGAAGCTTTGCAGTGTCCTCATTGGCATAAATCTATGCTTGATGAATTTCAAGCCCTTCAGACTCAACAGACTTGGTCTCTTGTTCCTTCTTCTGCAAATCAAAATGTTGTTGGCTGTAAATGGGTTTTTTGAATCAAAAAGAATTCAGATGGCTCTATTGCTCGGTATAAATCTCGCCTTGTTGCCAAAGGTTATCTTCAAGAATCTGGTGTTGATTTCTTGGATACATTCAGCCCCGTCGCTAAGCAACCACCTATCCGGGTCTTCCTTTGTGCTGCTCTTCATTTCAATTGGTCTATTAAACAGTTGGATGTGTCTAATGCCTTTCTTCATGGCAAGCTTGAAGAAGAGGTCTTTATGACTCGACCACCTGGTTTTGAGAATTCTCAGTTTCCTACTCATGTGTGTAAATTGAACAAAGCTCTTTATGGTCTTAAACAAGCTCCTCGAGCTTGGTTTTCCACTTTCTCCTCTTTTCTGCTTCATCTTGGGTTTGTTCCTAATCATTATGATAATTCCTTGTTTGTTCAATCTACCTCTACCACTCTTACTTATCTCTTGGTCTATGTTGATGACATTCTTGTTACTGGTAACTCTTCTTCTCATATTCAGTTCTTGATTTCTCAGCTTCACTCTGCTTTTTCTCTCAAAGATCTCGGTTCTCTTTCTTTTTTCTTGGGTATATCTGTTACTACTTTTTCTTCTGGTTCTTTCTTATCTCAATCTCATTATGCTTCTAAGTTGCTTCAACAAGCTGGCATGTCAGATTGCAAGTCTGCCCCTTCACCTCTTAGTCCTTCTTCTTCATCTTCCCTGTCTTCAGTTTCTTCCTCTGCCTTTTCCAATCCTTCTCTCTACCGAAGCCTTGTTGGTGGTTTACAATATTTGACTATTACTCGTCCGGATTTGGCCTTTGCAGTGAATCAGATTTGTCAACATATGCAATCCCCTTCTCACGATGATTTTGCTAAGGTTAAGCGTCTCCTCCGATATGTTCATGGCACACTGCATCATGGTTTACATTTTTCTCCCAGTTCCTTTGCTATTCATGTCTTCTCTGATGCTGACTGGGCTGGTAATCCTTGTGATAGGAGATCTACTTTTGGTTTCTGTCTTTATCTGGGTTCCAATTTGGTTTCTTGGACAGCAAAGAAGCAGTCCACTGTGGCTCGCTCTTCTACTAAAGCTGAATATCGGTCCATGGCTCAGGCTGCAGCTGAGGTGTCTAAAGCTCTCCCTGTTGGCCGTTTCCTGTTTCTCAAATCCAAGCTTCTTGTTGATCTTTCCACTTTCAACTTGACGGGGGCTGATGACAGATACAGCAGATCAGTTCATGTTCATGATCCAGATCATCAATCACCTACAGCTCAATCACTTGCAGCTCAAGCTCCACCGTATGCTAGTCATGTTTCTCATCAATGCAGAGCAGTTGCAACACAGCAGCAGAGCAGTTGCAGCAAATCAGTTGTACCTCTACAGTGTGTATAGGTTAAGAGTGTCTGGTGCACATTAGTGTTAGTTAAGTGTATGTTAGTAAATCCTTGTAACTTCTATTAGTTAGTTTGTTTAGATGGTTGTAAGTTTGTTAGCAGTCAGGTGTGTCTATATAAGAACAGTTTTGGATCTGCAGAAAATGTGATTTTTGACTTCCATGAAATAATATCAGATAAATATAGTTTTATGATTGTTTCTCTGTTTTCCTTCAACTACTACTCAGCAAGTATTGTTATGGAGCATCATGAAGCAACTGGAGAGGATACACAGTATCATGCATTCACAAACTTTCACCATATGCAGCAAGGAAGGAGTTAAATTCTAATAAAACCAAACAGACACTTTAGTAAGAGCCTAAGACCATCACTCTAAGCAACACTCAAGAGTAGATTGATAGAAAGGTTCCACTATAGGACTAAATGATACGTTTGAGATACAGAAAAGGAAATGTTATAAAGAGCTAAAGTACCACTTCTTGTACAAATAAAAAGATTAAAAAAAAAAAATTATGACTGCAATTTGTGGAAGCAAAAATGAAAAGTCTCAGACTCCTGATCAAACACCAGGTGACAGATGAAAAAATTTCTACAAAACCAGATGCACAAACACAGCTAGCAATGTGGGTGTTTATGGATTACAAATAACTTCAGCCCTACATTTATCTTTGTTTGGATTGTGTCTGAAGCTACGTAAGTAGAGGAACTAATAAGAAAAGTAACAGTTTACACAAATAGGTTTCATAACCTAAGCAACCTCGATTTCTTTTTCCACACAAACAGTTAAATGAGCATAAAGAATGTGAAAGAGAAATATAAGCATAATTTCTTTTTCTTCCTTTGTGAAAATTCCTAGTAGGTATTATAAAAATACTTAACCACTCATTTTCTTTCTCACCAAATTTTACTATTTTAAGTTAGAAACTACATTGCAAAACAAGATAGTTCTCTTTAACTTCATTTTTTATCATTTCTCATCAAATCATGGACACATCCATAGAACCCGTTAAACCCATAAAGCTATGCTCTTTTACAATTCAAAGCTTGTCTTATAACTTGCACAAAATACAAACCCATAAAAAGAATGTAATAGAATTACCTAGAAGATGCATGTGAAACTATCATCACTAAATCTCCATCATTCACACCAAGACCACTCAATATCTCAACATTCCTCATCTCTTTCCCATTATAAAGCAGCTATTGTTGTTGAATCAACGCTTGACTCTGCTTACAAACCAAACACCACAAATCTCAATCCTCTCATGCACACACACACACACACACACACACACACACATATATATATGCATATATAGAGCGAGAAATCGATCTTACCTCGACCTCAAGCAGAGCTTTCAAGTTCTCAACCTGTCAATGAGATCAAAATTCACATTCAAACAACTAATAATCTAAAAAAAAAAAAAAAAAATGAAGTTGAACTAGTGTTTTCGAGATTACAGATTTGTTAGATTCCTCAGTTTCACACAAGAGATTCAAAGCTTTTAAAATCAAGACAGAGATCATGAAGAAATGGATACAATAAGTAAACAATCGCTTAGTGTAGAGAATGTAAGTCCAAATTCTATCCATAAAAGTGTAAATCAAGAAGAAGAAGAAATAAATCAAAGGGAGATTAGTTTTACCAGCAGAGAAGTAGTCGCGACGATTGGATTTGGAGTCGATGTTGTGCATTTCAGATTGAACATTCATGGAGTTTTTGAGATCGGGGACGTAATTGCCGAAGAGGAGAGCTAATAGATTGGGATTGGTGAGACTGATTTTGGAGAAGTAAAAATTGGAGGTTTGGAGTTTGTCAAAGGTGAAGACGAGTTTGATGAAATCAGATTTGAGAGGATATTTGAGATCGCCCTTGACGATCTGTTTGAGGACGTGAAGCCAGGAATCGCGAGAGGAGAGGAAGAAGTCGATTTGGGAGAGATCAGGCTTGGGAAAAAGTCTCGACGACGAGGATGATGATGAAGAAAATGGAGATCCGTGGTAGGCTTTGAAGGTTGGGAACCAGTCTCAGGGTTGATTTTGTGTGTTAGGGTTGAGAGTTGGGGCTTTTTGATTATTATTATTTTCTTCTTTTTTCTTTTTCTTTTTTTTTTTGTGAATTGCCGCCAGAAAATTTTATTTTGGCGCTATTTTTTTTGTCATTCCTTGCACGACATGCATTGTGCGTCGTAAAGAGACAATACTTTTAACGGCAGACAATGTGTGCGTCATCAAAAATGCAATACTTTTAATGGCGGGCGTTATATGCGCCGTGAAAAATGCAATACATTTCACGGCTGGCGTATATGTGTCGTGTATAATTGATGTATTAATGGCATACCATATGCATGTCATAAAAAGTTTTATTATTTACGACAAACATTGCAAGCCGTAAAAAAATCATTGTTACTACCATTCACGGCCTACGCAATAGACACGTTGTGATTGGAAAGTTATTTACGACGTGCAAAAAAAGTAAGTCGTAAAAATGAGAAACCACGGCGTGCATTTATTGTATGCTGTTGATGTGGTGCCGTGAAAACCCAGTTTTGTTGTAGTGTTCCTGAAAACCTTTCCGTCAAACTGCGTATCATTGTCTACAATCAGTACCTGTGGGATGCCAAAACAGACCACAACATTCCTCATAACAAACCGTTTTGTGTCGGCTTCTTTGATGCTTGTCTGTGGTTTAACTTCTACCCACTTGGTGAAATAGTCGGTTGTAGCGATGAAGAAGCGTCTGTTTCCAGTCCCCCGTGCCAAAAGTCCAACGATGTCCAAGCCCCATTGAGCGAAAGGCCATGGGCTAATAAGCGGAGCATGATTTTTGGCTGGCTGATGAATTAGCGGAGCAAATCTCTAACACTTATCACACTCTTGCACGTACTGTTGTGCATCCTGCTACATCTATGGCCACCAGTACCCATGAATGAGGGCACGGTGCACCAGTGACCTTCCACCAATGTGGCTTCCACAAATCCCCTCGTGAATTTCATAGAGAACACCATCGACTAGATTTCGACGTACACATAGCAAATAAGGGCCAAGGTAAGACGCCGGTACAATTTCCTAGATAGTGAAATCCAAAATCGAGCTGATCAGTGTCAGATTTTATTGGCTTCTTTCTTGTCTTCGAGAAGAGTGGCTGATTTAAAAAAACAAGTATTGGATCCATCCTGCCATGTTAGGTACGCTGTTGGTTTCACCACCTTTGTTCCTTTCACGTGAAACGTGTTAGGATTTGATACTTACCTTCCTCTTCTCTGCATGAAATACGACTAGGAACATCTGTTGGTTACACCACTATACCTTTTCCCGCATGAAACACGTTTGGATTTCGAGTTCATTGTTTTCTCTTCTCGCGTAAAACACGTTTGGATTTCGAGTTCACCTATCATTTGTGTTGTGGCACATTTGTATGTAATCTTGTGGCACATTTAATGCGATGCACCCCCTATTATGTTTCATATCATTTGCATGAAGCTTGCCTCTTATGTTGCCATCTTCATATCTTTATCATCACTCTATGACATTGCATTGCATAAATCATGAATTTTCAAACAACTGGCTTTGTGAAGCGTGTAAGTCCAACTTTCAAACTGCATTTTGAGCATGTCATTTGCATTCTACTCCGGAACTATGCTGGTTTGATTCCTTGCAAAGGGATACGTAGGCAATCTTTAGGTTCAACCAATTGCATCTGCATCTTGTTTGTTTGCCCAAGTCTTATAGCCTTGTCAAAAGGGTCGTCTTCGGGATTTAACATTCACTCACGTCAAGAAATGACTTTGAGCTCTGTCAAAGAGGGGCAACTATAGACACCCCATTTTGACCGGCCCTAAGACTTGGGCACTTTCTTTTAATTACCCCATAATGACAAAACAAGAAGGTGTTTCTCAATAAGAAAACTCAGAATTTGAGCCCTATTTCTAAGCCTAAACAGGCATAAATTACCTTTCCAAGGGCATATTTTGACCTCACGGTTGCCTCCAGAATGATTCGTTGGTTGCACTTCCAGGGGCCTCACTGAAAAATTGTCTCGAGATCTGGGTTACAGCATAATTATTTGAAACTTCTGGACCAAATTGTAAACTCAGGGAATATTCTGTTATGTGGGGGAATATTCCATCAATGCTGACTGGGACGCTGACGTGGCGGTCTTACTGACATTGCATGACTGGATTGGTCCTTGCTGATGACGTAGTGCTGATTTGTCTTTACCCAAAAAAATGAATTTAAGGAATGCTGATAAAGGGGTTTGAACCCCCAACCTAAGACTCCACACCTTAACCACTCTGGTAAAGCTTTGCCTTGTGTTATATTTCCCCTCAAATAATATTTGACTATTTCAAACTAGCAGGCAAAGGTGTATTTTTTTTGCATTTTTTACTTGTGTGTGGGACATTTCCCTACTCTATTGGCCAACCCATATATCACCAAATATATACCTAATCATCCTCCATTTTTAAAAAAAGGTTTTGTTTGCATCCATAAAGGAGTATCCCATGCAACCACCTTGAAAATTTGCCCTCCTATCAAATTCTGGTCTCTCACCTTCTTTTTAACCTTCACTCTCCTTCATTGCCTATATAGAATGATCATATTGTAAGAAAGAGGGAGGACCACGAAATTGAAGAGAAAAGAGTAAAAAATTGAGAAAAATTGAGTTTTTGAGTCAAAAATACTTCTATCTTCCATATAGACCCTATATTTTCCATACAAACTGAAATTCCATTTTTCCTACATCCAAAAACTCCTCCAAAAATTCTGAAATAGCTAAATTTTAGTAGTGATTGATCAAAGGAAAGAATGAGTGTTGTTGAAAGTAAGAAAAAATAAGAGAGTTAGCCACTTTTCCGCCATACATACCCAGAGTTCCATTCTAGTTTCAAATTGAGGATTGAGAACACACTTCCTAAACTTGAGGGTGATCAAGAGGAAGTTTAGAAATCAAGAAGTTCAATCTTTCTTTGGAAGGTGAATTTCTAATCTTTCATTTTTTTATATTTTCTATCTTATATTTATTTTCTTGCTTCTTATTTCATAGTGTTTTGTTATAATCCAAGTGGTTTGTTTATCTCATATTTATTTTCTTACTTTATATTTCATAGTGTGTTGTGTAATCTAAGTGGTTTGTTTATCTCATATTTATTTTCTTACTTAATATTTCATAGTGTGTTGTGTAATCTAAGTGGTTTGTTTATCTCATATTTATTTTCTTACTTAATATTTCATAGTGTGTTGTGTAATCTAAGTGGTTTGTTTATCTCATATTTATTTTCTTACTTAATATTTCATAGTGTGTTGTGTAATCTAAGTGGTTTGTTTATCTCATATTTATTTTCTTACTTAATATTTCATAGTGTGTTGTGTAATCTAAGTGCCCTTGGGGGTATTTATTTGTTTATTTACTTGTTGTTGGATTAATGTATTGTTACATGAAGAACTATTGTATCATGTAATGTAAGTTTGGAGATTTATATTCGATTTTCCTTGAAAGAGTCATGATTGTTGTATTATCATTTGGGCTAGAAATTTGGGGCGTTACAGCCTTTCAAACAAATAAATGGGTTTTGACTATTCACAATTGGTCATTCAAAACATGAATAGGTTTTGGCTCTTCAAAATTGGCCTTTCAAAATTGGTCCTTCAGAACATGAAAAGGTCTTGGTTTTTGGCCTATATATAGAAGACCATTAGAAGTATGAGAGGTGGTGAAATTTTTTGGTGAGAGAGAGGTCTAAACTTTGATCAAAGAAAGAGTTTATTTTATTCCAATTGTGTGAAAATACTTTTAGAGAGAGGTCTAAACTTTGATCAAATAAAGAGTTTATTTTGTTACCACCCAAAACTTCACCAAAGCTAAAACTTGAACTTTCTTGCTGAGATTTCAACAACAAACTCCACAACTTGAGGGTGATCAAGAGGAAGCTTGGAAATCAAGAAGTTCAATCTTTCTTTTGAAGGTTAATTTTCTAGTCTTTCATTTCTTATATTTTCTATCTCATATTTATTTTCTTGCTTCTTATTTCATAGTGTTTTGTTATAATCCAAGTGGTTTGTTTATCTCATATTTATTTTCTTACTTTATATTTCATAGTGTGTTGTTGTAATCTAAGTGGTTTGTTTAGCTCATAATTATTTATTTATTTATTTATTTTTATTCACTTGCTTTAATTTCATATTAGTTTTGTTATAATCTTACATGTTCTACCTCATATTTACTTTTTTTGTTTTAGGTTCATGTTAGTTTTGCTGTAATCTTGCATATTCTATCTTATATTTGTTTTCTTGTTTTAGTTTTATAGTAATTATGTTGTAATCTTGTATTTCCTAGTTTATATTTTTCTTACATTAGTCTCATATTAGTTTTGTTGTAATCTTGCATGTTTTACCTTATATTTGTTTTCTTGTTTTAGATTCATGTTAGTTTTGTTGAAAGTTTGCACTTTTTTTAATTTTATATTTGTTTTCTTGTTTTTAATCTAACCGGTAGTGGTTAGTTAAGTCACCTACATATTTCTTGTTTGTTCCTTTTCTTAGTTGGCCGGCCGATTAGCTTCTTTTGGACAAGATGGTTTTGTCTTCCGATGTTAATTAACTTCCGGTGGTTTCCAAGGCGCATGAAACTTTCTTTTCTTTTGTTTATTTTATTTTGAGTGTATTGTGAGATTTTTATTTTGTTGTAATATTCTCATCACCTCTCCTCTAATTTAGTTTGTAATAATTTATTCAAAATGTTGTAATAATTTCTCGGCCTACTTCTTTCTATCACGTTCTTTTACTTGCTTTTCTTATTTATAAATATGCATCATGTTTATTTTATTTTATTTTTGTTGTTATATTCATGCTTTGCATCTATGTTTCATGTATCTTGATTCGGCTAAGTTTGCATTTGTTAATTTAATCAATTCCTATGTGATTATGTGCGCTACCTCATGTTCTTGAGATGATGCACATATCATATCTTAGAAGCCGAATCTTTAGTTGCATCTCATGAGTGAATTGCATTAGGATTTTGTATATAAGATTGTGCATGTTTTCCTAACTTTTTTTTGTAGCTGTTCGAGGGACGTCGATAAATATGTAAGTTTTTTATGCTTTAGCATCCCGTTTATGTGTTTTTTTTCTTATTATGTTTAAGCATCCTACCATGTGGCTCTTTGCTTACTTGATATAACTGTATGAATGCTAGTGGATGAAGATTGTGTCGCTTAATTTGGAATAGTGTTGATTTTCATGTTTGTAAACTCAATTTATTTGGGTTGTACATCTCCAAAACTCTTTCAAAACTGTATGAAATTAAATTATTCCAAAATAAATGACATAATCCATACTTGTATGCTTTACATAGTAATTTTTAGGATTTATTAAATAATCGAACTACGAACATATAAAATCAATAAAATTCATATCATGGTTTAGTAAAGGCCGATCTTTTGATCGGGTAAGTGGGGGTACTCAATTAATGACTTTCCCCTCTCATACCTAAGGTTCAGAACTGAGACAACTTTGGTTATGACGAACTGTGACCTTGGCAAAGAGAAAATTTTAGCTTATATTTCATTTACATCTCCCTCATCTTTTGCCTTATACATTCCAAATCCTTGTCAAAATCCACGATCCAAACACAACCTAAGTGGAAGCGGTTTACCACAAATCTGAATAATTGCTGGGATCACGAGCCTCCACAAACGATCACAAACCCACGAACCATGTAATAGCACTTTCAAGCCAATGGGTTGGTTACTAGAGTTCTCCATGATTTTCACACTCCAAGGCTCTCTGATGGTAGCCTTAGAGAGATTAAACAGAGAGGAACAGAATATCTTTCTGTGGAGTTTTTCAGTCGTCGTTATGTACAACGTATTCTTTATGTGTATATAGAGAGTCTCCTACAGATAAGGGATGCTGTGTAGTCATCGACAACCACCTTACATCTACTGCTAAGATCCCTTTATTTAAATATACGAGTCTGTCAAATAAATCAACTTGGTACTTACTGATAATGATAAGAGCGCTAATAGCATATGCAGTGATTAATCATTAAGTAGGCTAGTTATAGCTATATATAAACTTCAGTTTTTTTGTGTTTCTAACTTCAAAAGTTAGGCATCAAATCCATGATGCAAGGTCCATATTGTCTCGTGGGCTATGGAGTTAGCCTTTTGAAATCTCATTGCAGATCAGGCATAAATCAGATACATTGGAATTTAACCCCTTATAGCTTTTACAGAAATTTCACTGCTTACATGATGCAAATCTAATCAAATGCATTTTTTATTTGAAGATTTTCTCCTTTCCAAAGAATGGGAGGTAGCTAGTTTTCTTCATGGATGTCATCATTTGCATGTACGATTAATTGATGAGCTTTACGGCCCAAATTTGTAAGAAAGAACTGTAGTCAGTTTTTAGGAAACTTTTTGTTAACATTTAACAAAAGAGTGCTTGTAATGTGTGTGCACACTTGTATTTACATTCACATGTAGTTCACTTGCCAAGTAAATCTTTACACTGATTGAACCTTTTTTTTCGTATTCTGTTTAGCATGACTACCATTGCTGATCTTAATGACAAGTGGGCAGCCTATGCTGGTCCTGGTGGATGGAATGGTAAGAATGTGATCTTTGCAAAGAGTTTTGAGTGTGGTCGTGGCTATCAGTCTCCACTTGTGTGTGTGAATCTGGATTTTCATTCTGCACATCTACCTTTCTGGCAGATCCGGATATGTTAGAAGTTGGCAATGGTGGCATGACTTACCTGGAGTACCGAGCACATTTTAGCATCTGGGCTTTGATGAAGGTGTTCTTTATGAACTTCTTGATTTTTATCTACTCTCTCTCTTTTTTCCTTATATACTCTTGCTTATGCTATTGGATTATTTTGGTGGAATCAGTGAACCGTGTGGCATTCTATTTTTTTCTTCTTTTTCGTCTTCTGATTGCTAGACTAATTTTGATTGCATCTGCTTCATATCATCTTTGTATCTCATTTAGAAACTACTTTAATTCCATCAAATTTTTACCTTCTGGGTACCTTTACCATATATTTTTTTACCTTTTTTAGTTGTAACAACTTAAAATTGTTTTGCTTGAATATGCAGGCTCCACTTTTGATTGGCTGTGATGTAAGAAACATGACTGCGGAGACATTTGAATTACTAAGCAATAAGGAGGTTATTGCTGTGAACCAAGGTAGACTTTGGTTCTCTCTTTGTTACTCTGTCTCTCTCTTTCTCTGTAGGAAGGAGAAACGGTTGGAGTAGTGAGCAGCTTTAGACCTTTGCTTTAATTTTCTAGTTTAAAGATTTCTTTGCATGCCAAATAAATAAACGCGCACCACTCTATGAATACATTGGGTATCATACTGAGAAAACTTAGTAGGATTTGTCTCTTTCTGCAGACCCACTTGGCGTTCAAGGCAGGAAAGTGCATGTTGCAGGAACAAACGATTGCCGCCAGGTCTTTCCATCTTGAACCTCTTTAACTTTGTATCATTTGTGGTGATAGTTACAACCCACGATAACAGCATATCTTTGATAGTACCAACTTGTAAATATTTTCCTGTTCAATAGCTATTAGTCCAAATATGTTGGGAAAGAATTTGAGTTTGACCCATCATAGAAATCACTCTTTTAGTGCAGATTTAGATGCATTATTTCACGTGTTCCAAGAAATCGAATTTGTCAATTGTTTTCTCATTACAAATTGTATTTTCATTCAACTAGTTGAAGGAGCAGTTGCAGGTATTGAGTGTTGTGAGGGCTTTCATTTGACTGAAAGAAAGAATGTTAAGATGGAGATATCCTTCTGACGAACAAAGAAAACAAGGTGTTGGAAAGAAATAAAAGGGACATAGAATTCCTGAGATAAGACTTTCATATATTAAGGAATCCACCACTTGGGAGGTTAGCCTCTGAATCATCCTCAAAAGCCCTGTTATTAGAATCGTACGATTCGCTATTCGAATCGTACGATTCGATTCAGTAGGTAATTGATTCAAACAGGTTGTGTGAATCACAAATAGCTATGAATCGTAGGTGAATCGGTGAATCGTGAATCAATTCGATTCGCTAAAATCGATACTTGGCTTTCTTTTTTGGTTTTTTATTGTTAAAAAATGGTTCACACAACCTTTTTAAGGTCTCTAGGATTACTATATGCCGTCTTTTGACTTTCTCCCTCCCTATTTATTCTCAAATACTCAAACCTTAGCTGCAACAAATGAACTTTCTCTCTCTACAATACTCTAGGCTTCCATATTCAATTTTATCTAAGTACTTGCATTTACAAAATGAATTTTTTGAAGGCATCAAGTGAGATTTTTAAAATTTATGAAGATTTTGGTTTTTTAATTTTGTAAAAGGTTAAAAACATTGTTGTTGAGTTATTGTTACTTGGAAATTAAAGTTTGTCTTTATTTACTTTCTTTATTAAGAACGGTTGATAAGAAATAGTATCTAAAAGGGAAAAGGTGAAGTGGTAAACATGGGAACCAATGTTAACTTCTTATCCAGACCACATGATCATCATTTAAAACAATATATTTTTATCGATTTAAGTCTAAATATTTCATATTTATTAGATATATTTAATATCAAAATGTATAGATATATTTTCTATGTAATTAAAAAAAGGTGACCGAATCTTTATGATTCACAATTCGATTTGTGATTTGGTACAATACTATTTCGATCCACAATTTGAATCCTGATTTGATAACTATGCTCAAAAGAAGCAGCTATATTCTAAACATATGCCTTGTGATAGATCTCATTGAAAAGTCAAGGAGATAAAAAAATCTATTGGCAGTCTAGGATACTCACTTTTCAAAAAAGAAAAAAAGAAAAAAAAAAATAGTAGCCTGATACTTGGGTTGTGTTTAGGTGAAGGATTTGAGTGGGGATTTGTGGAGGGAAAGAAAAAGGGAAGGGAAAAGTGAAAAATTTTAACTTCTATTTCATACACTTTTCCCATCCTTTTTTCTTTTCCCTTCACAAATCCCTTCCCAAATCCTTGATCCCACCACTGCCTTAAGAGATGCTTAGGACTGTGGTAAGAAACCCCCAAAAGAGCAAGTAGCTCACCTTTATGGGTCATGTCCAGATTAGCTGATTAAAAAGTTGGAAATTGATAGTGCCTTCATGGTTATTGCTTATGCCTACTCGATCTGAATTTCAAATTCTACAACCATCACAAATTCATCTTTACATACATCAGTGTGGCTGAAGTACTGGGCCAAAGGAAACAACACATAACCATCTCTGAGAATTTCCTGATGATGGATTCCTTTCCATTTGGGAGACATAAAGCCACAAAAGAGGCCAAAGCTTTATTACTTCTACTGGCAGCCGAAGAATTGAAGTAATCATGAGTAAATTCTCAATTTTGAGCATACAGCCCTTGACAAAGTGGAATGATGAAAATATTTCATGTAGCCAACCCCACTTGATTGAGACACACCTTGGCTTACGGCTCTTTTTTGTTCTTGTAATTTATTTTTATTTTTCTTTTTCTTCTGGTTTCTTTTATTTTCTTTTTTTTTCTTTCGTCTTCTTCTTCTTCTTTTGCTGAAGAAAAAAGGGGAAATAAATATCTTAGTTTATAAAATATGACTCGATCTTCAGGTTTGGGCTGGTCCTTTGACCGGACAAAGTCTAGCTGTTGCTCTTTGGAATCGATGTTCAAAAGCTGCAACTATTACAGCTGCTTGGGGTACACTTGGACTTGAATCCTCTACCAGTGTCTCAGTGAGAGATTTGTGGAAGGTAAGAACACTGGCCTGCATAGACAAAGTATATTAGATGGTGTGTGTCACTTAAATTTTAGCCTCAGGTACAGGCTCTGATACAATTCCTCAAGACATTGTCCTAAAGATTTGAATTCCCATCCTGTAGTGTCAGGTTGCTACCACACACTCGAAAATTCCCAGATTTTAGTCTATTGTGGCCCCAAATCTGAGTCCTTATTGGATTATGCACCATTGTTACTATTTGATTAGCAAATACACTTTTTTAAGCTCTTTGTTTAGTGACTATGCTTCAATGCTTTCAAAATTCCTTTGAAATCCTTCTGACCACAAACTGTTAGTTTGAGTGGTACCTCTTGTCACTCGATGAGTGGAAGGATGCAAGGTTCAAGTTGTGACATGGATGTGTGCGCACGTCTTATTAAAGAAGGAACAGTGTTCTTTTAACCCTTGTGGATCTGTACATAGAAAATTGAGATACCTCTAGTTAAAGTCAGTGGCTTTTAGAGTTTATGGCATCCAATATTTGTTTCATTCATTATTGTTAAAGTTAAAAAAGAAATTAGCTGTTAACTTGGTCTTGCTGTACTTGTAGTTAAATAGTTAATTTGGAAATGGACCTGCTCAACTTTTTCTCCCTAGGCTAGGTTAGCATCTTGGAAGCACGGATACAATATAGATACAAATACGGCAATATGACAAAAATTTTAAAAATAGGATGCGAGTACTGCGAGCATATGTCGAATTTTTTTTGTTATATAATGTATTATATTGTACATTAGCTTAAAGAATAATGAGAAACTATTCTGTACGAATTAAATTTTAGTTTAAGAGCATATGGTCTATTTGATCTTTTTATTTTTTTTTCAATGAGTAGATTAATTTATAAATCTGCAAAAGTAAGAGTACTACTCTAGTCTCACAATTTTCTTCTATGGAAGGAAATAAAAAAAATATTAAAAATTATTCTTGTATTTATTATAACAAATATACTTTAATACTATGCAAAAATTATTACAATTTCAATCTCATAATAGTTTGAATATGTGACTTAAGAGTGTCCAAAAAGTGTTTGATGCTTCTTAAAATTAATATTAAGTATTGGATATGTTTAGAAAGTATAGTATCCGTGGAGTATCGGTATCCAATTCAAGTACGATATAGATATGACTTCCTTTTAAAAGTATTGTGCTTCATAGGTCAGCATGATATAATTGACTCTGAAGATTGGAGTCGCCATTTCTATCAGCATTTGGATTATAATTGGGGTAAGACTATATTCATCTTGTCTTTCCCAACTCCGCTAGCAAGAGTCTCGTGCATTAGGTTTCCCAGATTTTAGTCTATTGTGGCCCCAAATCTGAGTCCTTATTGGATTATGCACCATTGTTACTATTTGATTAGCAAATACACTTTTTTAAGCTCTTTGTTTAGTGACTATGCTTCAATGCTTTCAAAATTCCTTTGAAATCCTTCTGACCACAAACTGTTAGTTTGAGTGGTACCTCTTGTCACTCGATGAGTGGAAGGATGCAAGGTTCAAGTTGTGACATGGATGTGTGCGCACGTCTTATTAAAGAAGGAACAGTGTTCTTTTAACCCTTGTGGATCTGTACAT